GAATGTCTTGTAGCTTCCAATTAACTCCGCCGGTGAACTGGGGAGTCCGGATTGTTCCGGAGAGGAAGGCGTTTGTGATTGAGCGATTCGGTAAATACGCCAAGACCTTGCCGTCTGGGATTCACTTCCTTATTCCGTTCGTGGATCGCATTGCTTATGTTCATTCCCTCAAGGAAGAAGCGATTCCGATTCCGAATCAAACTGCCATTACCAAAGATAACGTTAGTATCCACATCGATGGCGTCCTCTACGTTAAGGTTATCTTCTCTTCTCTTACCAATCCATTTCCCATTCCGGATCAGACTGCGATTACGTTGCCTGATTTGTTTTTATTGATCTTTCAGATAGTGGATCCCAAATTGGCTTCTTATGGTGTTGAAAGTCCTATCTATGCTGTTGTACAGCTTGCTCAGACCACTATGCGTAGTGAGCTTGGTAAGATTACTCTTGATAAGACCTTTGAGGAAAGAGATACGCTCAACGAGAAGATAGTGGTGCGTTTCTTTATGCTTCTTAGCTTGATCATTTTTGCTGAATATTGCAGCTTGGGCTGTTTTGTTGGAACATTTAGTAACGTTTGGCAATGTGTTTGGATTCTGCTTAAGTTGGATAAAAGGATTTTAGATTCCTCTTGTATTTTTTGAATATCCAAAATTGTGCTGTCTCTTTTCCAAATCAGAAGGAGACCAGATGGTTAGGAAAAACATAACCATTGAAGAAGAAAACATATGATGGATTTACATTCTTGCAGGAAGCCATCAATGTTGCTGCAAAAGACTGGGGTCTTCAGTGTCTTCGTTATGAGATAAGTGAGTTGTTCTGTCTTTCTTCTTTGCCGGCGAGCTATATATATTTTTCTGCCTGTTTCTAATTCATGTATCTCCAGGGGATATTATGCCCCCTCATGGAGTAAGGGCTGCTATGGAAATGCAAGCTGAAGCTGAACGTAAAAAGAGAGCCCAGATTCTTGAGTCTGAAGGTAAACTTCCCTGACTTTTCCTCCAAAACTCATCTTCTGAAATTGAACAGTGCTTGCTACGGCTCATATTGTTACTACTATTCTTGGATAAAAGCTACCTGTGTTCCTTCTTTGCATTTGGAAAACTAGAGGTCTGCTTAACAAGTTTCTAATCACTTGCTTTGCTCTATTTAACAGGAGAAAGGCAATCCCATATCAATATCGCTGATGGTAAGAAAAGTTCTGTAATATTGGCTTCGGAAGCAGCAAAGATGGACCAGGTGAATCGAGCACAAGGTTAGTAAGCCATTAAGATCGAGAAAGAGAACACATCACAGTAACATGTGGTGTCCATTATTAGTTAGTTTCATTAGAAGAATTTTTAGTTCCATTTGCTTGTTGTTTCACAATACGATGAATTCTTGGTGGTAGAGGAACTGCGTTTCTTAACTGCTAAATGCACAACATGATGGTTGCTATCTCCCACTGGTTTTCTCCTTATATTATTCTCTTATGATGTTCTTCAGGTGAAGCAGAAGCCATATTGGCTAGAGCACAAGCAACTGCCAAAGGTCTTGCCTTGTTATCTCAGTCCCTCAAGGAAACTGGGGGAGTTGAGGTGAGTAATGGAAATCAAATAGGGGAATGATGTTACTTAATTCCTCAATAGTATTTACACAAATTGCTAATAGTGTATTTTATTCTCTCTATATAAAGGTTTCTATATGCTTGTGGGAGTTAGTTTTAATCATAACTTTAATGTTACTGGCCTTGTGTTTCTTTTTTTTATTGCTGACCAAAATATGATCTAATACTCCATTACTGTACAATTTGCAGGCGGCTAGTTTGAGAGTTGCAGAGCAATACATTCATGCCTTTGGTAACATTGCCAAGGAGGTAAAACAAATACATTACAACAGTCTCGTTTAATCTCTTGGCATTTCTCGGGCTTATCTAACATTCACTG